AGGAAGTGCTGGGAAAAGTGTGCCGCTCTTCTTAAGTCCCCTATTGGTTATCAGGGTTCAACCTCAGTATTTCATTACTAATTACACAACTTTCTTTTTGTCATATAAGCAGTTTATATACCAGAATGAAAAATAAATTTTCCTTTAATTCCTTTAAAAGTTCATTTAATTTACTTTTGAGCTAGTTTGACTGAATAACTCCTTTATAAATAATTTTTTGCATTATTTTGATACCTTATTTAATGTATGCTCAGATCTCAAGCTGGATTTAGCTCATCTTTTGCCATTACAAAATAAGAAAACAGGCCATTTGCATATCAGACTGTTCCCACCCAAAAGTGCAGTACAGATCCAAGATGCAGGCCGGCTCCCTCTGCACAAGAGATACAACAACCCCAGACAATCGTTTCAGCCTTCTTAGGCATCATCAGTGAAGTATAGCTGATACCCCTCTAGGCACCATGAACCAGGGGTCCATGTCTGGATTACTCTTCAAACTTGGGGTGAGCAAAAATTAACAAGGTGCAAGAGAATACTGAAAACAGACAGCAGCTCAAATAGCCGGCCCTTCGGTGGGTCCCCGCTCAGGTCTCAAGCTAGTTTTAGCTCATCTTGTGCCTTTACAAAATTGAACCAGGACCATTTACATATCAGACTGATCCGAGTCAAAAGAGCAGAACACATCCTAAATGCAGACCGTCTCTCTCTGCACAAGACATGCAGCAACCCCAGATTGTTTTTATATTGTAAATATAGTGACAATATCGTGATTTTGCCAGCTACATGCCCCTGTATTCAACTGGATTGTTTTTCCCCAGTCAATTTCAGGGCATTTGGACCTTAGAACCTTCATCGTATCTCTAGGTTCACTAAATGATGACAGGAAATCACAGTTTAAAAAAAATGCAAAAATGCCCATATTGCTCTAGTTATAAAAAGGAAAATGGCCTTTTATCTGTAAAATTATGGCTCTTATTCAGTCACAAATCCAGCTGCAACCAAAGTAATTGTACATGAGTCAATGAGTGGATACAAGTGCACACCATTTATCTGTATGCGGTAATTGCTGCGCATTTCCTGTGTTAGAGCACACTATCTTCTTCTGTCGATTTGTACTGATATTCCGGCTGCATGAAAACAACTTGAACATTTTTATCCCTTGAAAAGCATTGATGATAACTAATAAAAAAAAACTATCACCAGATGGCAGCATACATCAATTCAACGTCCATGTACAGGTAATGCTCATCATAGCTACGGCACCACGCAAAATACTTTACAGCTGTTTAACATTTACAGAAAAAAATTTGAAAAATTGCTCATGAAAAATCGGGGCAAAAACAAAATTGTTGCGTTTATAATTTTGTTCAGTGTAAATCCAGGAAACATAATGGCGTAATTGTAAATCCGATTATATTCAGTGCTGGCTTCAGCTGACAGAAATTATTTATTTTTATTAAAAATATTTATTTGATATTTTACATCAATGAAATATTTCCACAATGTTGTTTGGAATGGATAAATTGTGCATATCAAAAGCTGACTTGGAAAACTGTAAATCACTGTATTCAATGTAACTGCCTCATCTAATTGAAGTGGTTATAGAGTCTGGAGTAACCTGGTGCCATCCTTTATTCAGTGTCAAACCATTTTTGATGTGTTAATGCTAAATGAAAGTCTCCAGTCACCCATCCCCTCTGTGCTGCTTGGGCAAATGTTAGCCTAAACAGCAATGGGCAGCTGTAATTGGCTAAGAGTATCAGCTGAGCATTTTCAGCCTATCACAGCAATGTGCTTGGTATCTGTCGGGATGCCCAGCAGGGGGAGTGTCCTCCCTAGTCCACAAGGATGGTACATCTCTTTCTGTGTTTTTGGTTTTGCGGGTGTTCTGGAAAGGTACGACGGTGCACTTATGCCTAGAGAACCGGATCATTCGATGTACATGGCACTGGGAATCCAATAGATTCCAGACATACGTACAGTCACAATGCTTGTTGTAGGGTCTGTTATAGGGGTGAGATACATGGTTTGAATCATTGGCTACTCCTTTGTATACTGGTCCGAGAAGTGAGCCACACTTAGGCCACAGAGCTTGCAGCTGGGCTTTCCTGTGAAACAAGTAAAGTGGTTCGGTGTCCAGACCATGCGGAGGTAAAGGGTTTTGCATATGGTGCTGCTTACCATTTACCAGGGCAGCATGTCTGACATCGTGATGATTCATGTTGGGGGGAACGATATGGGCTGGTTCCACAAATGAAGGTGGTCCAGGTGATGCGGAAAGACTTACTGCGTGTTATGGAAGAGGTCCCTGGGGTAAAACTGGTTTGGTCGAACATGGTGCCTATCCTAACTATAAGATAAGGCTAGGGACTAATGAAAGTATTTAGAAAATTGGGCAGACTAGATGGGCCGAATGGTTCTTATCTGCCGTCACATTCTATGTGTCTATGTTTCTATGTTTCTAACTATGATGGTTCCCCATAACTAAAATTTTTGGGATGGCTCGGAGAGTTGGGAGTTAGACTCATGTTTAATTGACTGGATCTTGCATTACTAGAATTGGAATTGGAGTAGTATTTAAGTTGTATAGAGGGATTTACTGCTCTGCTTGTATGCATTTGGCAATAAGCTTCTTAAAGTTGTTGTTTTTTTAAGTTAATGAGCAGTGGTAACGGTTCAATCATTGGACAATCTTGCTTGTTTATAATTTCCCACTTAAAGGACCACTATAGGCACCCAGACCACCTAGATGGACCCTAGGTCCATCTAGGGTTAACCCTGCAGCTGTAAACATAGACGTTTCAGAGAAACTGCTATGTTTATGTGGCAAACCTAGCCACTTGGACAATATAAAGAGACTGTGACTTTAAGGGTTGCCTGTATGGTTGTGGGATATGTGTTTAACTATGTATAATGTATGCTGGTTGTAATACCCTGTATTTCCTGTATTGGCTATCTGCCGAATGCAGATAGCTGTATTTCATTTTGTTTCATGAACGGCACCTTTGCGGGCCGTTCATGAACCGGAAAACCATCATGTAATAGCCCACACACTTAGAGGCGTGTGGCGCTTGTTAACCGATTGCAACAATGTTGCAATCGGTAATTAGAGGCTCTCCTAGGTGGCCGCCGTTCGACTACCGACCATGCGGCGGTCGGTCATCTTGGATCCTTTGTTCTCTCAGCGGTGTCGTCGAGGGCATGGTACTAAAAACGGCTACTCGACGGCGCAAACACCGCTGAGCTTCCAGGCCATTCGGGAGTTCCGGGCCGTTCGGTATTATGTTCCCTAGACTTCAATCGGTCTTCTGAACATGTATGTTAATGAATGTGTTTTTCGTGCGGCGTTCGGTTGTTGTAGCTGGGATCTGAGCGGTAATCTCACGAATGATGCGCTCAGACCCCAGCTATCTACTGAACGTCCATTCGTGCTAATCGACTGATTATTCAAAAAGTTGTATATTTTTATATAAATTGCCAGTTCTGCTGCACGGAGGGATAATCCACTTAACGGTACATTCCTGTGGGAGGATCCCTCTCGTGCAGCAGTGCCTGATGGGAGAAAGGCTCTGTAATGTAAGTTCCCCATGTAGTCCACTCTGGGAATGCCCCTGGGATGGGACTCAGGAAACCCCTTGCATGGGGAATTGTATAAATTGTGGAGCCTGCGAATAAAGACCTCAGTTGACTCTCAGAACTGTGTTTCGTCCGGTTACTGGGAGATTTGGGATATTGCCTTGCTTTTCAGCGCTGACTGTGGATTACTGTATGTACCAGCGGAATTCGTGGGATTTAATATTGCCGGTCCGCTACAGTTTACAATAGGGTTAATCCAGCCTCTAGTGGCTGTCTCATTGACAGCCGCTAGAGCTACTTCCGCGCTTCTCACTGTGATTTTCACAGTGAGAAGACGCCAACGTCCATAGGAAATCATTGAGAAATGCTTTCCTATGGACTGATTGAATGCGCGTGTGGCTCTTGCCGCGCATGCGCATTCGGCGGTTGACGTCGGAAGAGGGAGGAGAGTCCCCAGTGCCGAGGGAGCACGGGGCTGAAGAAAGGTAAGAATTTAACCCCTTCCTCCCCCTTCAGCCTGGTGCGAGTAGGACCCAGAGGGTGGGGGGGACCCAAAGACCCCATAGTGCCAGGAAAACGAGTTTGTTTTCCTGGCAATATAGTGGTCCTTTAACTCTGACGGTTCTCCACACTAATATTGTTGAGATCCCAGCTAAAATAAATTTAAACAAATTAATAACTTATAAAAATTCTAACAAGCCTTGGGATAGCTCTGAGAGCTGGGAGTTGGACTCATGCCTAATTGAATGGATCTTGCATCAAAGCCAGCTGAGTGGTAGGAGAGCTGAAAGAGTTAGAGAGCTGGATTAATGAATCTTCTCTTTGGATCTCTGTTTTGTAATTTTTTTTTTCATGGATTATAATTTTTTTTCGTAGTTGCCCTGAGAAAAGCAAGTGAGTAGAAAAGAAAAGACCACCCTCTATTATGCTGCACAGGTTCATACAAATCAAACTAGAAGGAAGGTAGTTGCAACGAAAAAAGAATAAGACGAAACGCAAAACTATATAACTTAACTCTCATACAGGTGGGAGACTAATTGGCCCTTACAGAATCGTTCTCCCTTCTCTCATTAAATTTTTTTTAACAACCATGACTACTAAGAAAACTGAATCTAGACAAGGATCTAAAAAAGAAAAAGTAGGGAAGATAGAACACAAAACAGATAAACGTCTTTCCAATATTTTATCTCCATTACAAGACAAAACAGAAAGAAGACTGAGCCAACGTGATTTACAAAGTTACAGTAATGAACCGAGCAGCATAGTATCACCAGTGGAGAAGGGAAACAAAAAGAGAAATTCTAGATAACTCCATAAAAGATCCCCAATATTTTGATCAAGAACACCTGAATGCATGTTTTGATACCCAATCGCAAAATATTAAAGAGGAAATCTATATCATAAAAGATGAATTCAAAGGCGAAATGACGAAAATGACGACCAAAATACAATGTCTTGAAGAGAAGATTGAACATTCAGTACTACAATACAATCTACAACAAGATAAGATCTCTGGGTTAGAATGCAAGATGGAATTTTTAGAAACTGAACTATCAGAATATGAATACAGAGCTCAACGTAAAAATATAAGAGATATCCCCGGAAATATTACTTCTGAACATTTAGAGAAATACATGGAAGAACTGGTTATATTTATGGGTTTTCAGTGGGACAATAAGGTTAACTTCATTGGAAGAATTCACAGGATACGTAAACCTAACCCCTCCCAGTTCAGGTATCAAGAGACGTTATGGCATGTCTACACTCTTTCAAGTTTAAGCTCTCAACAATCTCAGCTTTGAGACAGAAATCTTTGAAAGGCTCTAAGTATGAATCTCTCAAGATATCAATGACTTATCCTTGGGAACCAGAAACCACGTAGAACTTTTTATGTTCAAACCAGGATACTCATAAAGAATGAAATAAGCTACATGTGGTCCTTTCCAGTGGGTTTAAGACTTAAATATAAAGATAAAACTGAATTCTTTAAAGATTCAACCTCTCTACAACAATGGTAGCAATCCAATAATTTGAAATAATAAGTTACTTATTATTTTAATTTTTTCATGTGCTCCCCGTCTCCCCCCTCTCCGGCCATCTCTGCTATGTGTAGGCTTTGGGCTGGATGGGGGGAACTGGGGTTGTGGGGGAAATAGTTATATTTATTTTTTATTATTATTTTTATTATTATTTTATGGTATAAGAAAAGTGCCACATACATGCAGTCTAAACTCCTCAATTCAAACACTTTTTATTTTAAAACATAGAATGCACTTACTTGCTCTATTATAAGAATGTATCTCACCTTCTATATATTTATATTGAGGAGTTTTCACTAAGCGAAAGCCAATTGCACTGGATATTGTTAGTAATTTAAAACTTATAATGCACTCATATATCCTCACCTACTGTGAGGGAGTTTACTACCTCTTATACTCCCCTTTTGAGGAGTATCAACTTAAGGAAACTAAATGCATAAAGGCTAAAATTGACACATAAACCTTGCTTGCTCCCTCTTCCCTCCTTATGCCCTTTCTCTCATATCCTTGTACCGCAAACAGAGGATGTGGGGGACTTGGAGCCATGTGGGAAATAGTGTATATTTTATTGAAGGGTCATGTAATTTAAATCTTCAATATATCTGTTTTTGCTATAGGTACCACACAACACTTTTATGAAATAGATGTTGTGCTACTAACTGTATTGTGATTTTTATTTATTTTTTTCTTCCTACTTGTGACTTACCAGCTGGAAGTGTTTATGGTTATTATTATTAGTTTTTGGGATAAATCAGGATAATTTAGTAAAGTTTTTATCTCCTAGGCAGGAGAAGCGACACCAGCTTCTTTACGTATATCTGAGGTTTATATTTTCTTGAAATGTCATACATTTCAAAATTATAGTGTATTCACTCTTCCTATAATGATCGCGATACTTTTATGAAATAGATGTAGTACCACTCATTGTACTTTAAACATTTTTATATATGTAACGTCATACAAAGTGTATTTTAATATTAATATAAGTACATATATTAGTATTAAAAAACACTTAGAATGACGTTACATATATATAATATATATATTATATATATAATAGATATATACACATATATTATATATATATATACGTATAATTACAATAATAAATAAAATAATAAAACCAATAAATAAAATATTGAAACAAAATTTTATATAAATTATATATTCATATGTAATTTCATTCTAACTGTGTTTTGTTATTAATATATATATATATATATATATATATATATATAGGTAACAAAATACATTTAGAATGACATTCTATATCTATCTATCTATATATAAAATACAAATAACCGCAAATATATATATGCAAATATTAGTTTTTTTGCTTTTTGCACACAAAAACAAATATGAAAGCTAACTTTGGCCAGTGTTTGTGACTAAGTGGCTACTAAAAAAGACTAAACATACCCCACTTCCAATACTTTGGGTTGTCTACTTTTTCAAATGGTATGCCATTATGGGGGTAATTCTCATTCCTGGGCTACCACACCGTCTCAAAGGTAACATTACTAATCTGGCAAATTTCAAATTTGAAAATTGAACGTTCTATATTTGACCCTGTAACTTTCCAAAACACCATAAAACCTGTTAATGGGGGGTACTGTTGTACTCGTGAGACATCGCTGATTAGAAATATGTGCATTTTTTTTGCAGTAAAACCTAACAGTATTATGACATTCACAGCTAAAATGTCAGATGGAAATACAAATTTTAAAAAAATCTTATTTTCTCAAATTTTTTTAAATTTTAGTAATAATAAATTATGTTACATATATGAATAGTTAATGATAAATTAAAGCCCTGTTTCTCCTGAACAAAATGATATATAATAAGTGTGGGTTCACTTAATGTGACAGTGGTGAATTTACGGTTAAACAGACATATAGCGCAAATTCCAGTTTTTGTTTACATTTTGTTTTGATCAAAACATGCACTATTGACTCCGTCCTGAAGGGGTTAAAGAAAAAAAATATATTTTTTTTTAACCTTTTTTTTTTATACACATTTCTCATAGGGTTGCCACCTGGCTGGTATTTTATGGTATTTGAGACTGCCTGGCTGGTGCCAGTATTGCAGTAAAACCGGCAATACGAATGCCGGTATATTTCTTAGTATAAATGGAGATTACTCTACAATACCAGCACCGGCCAGTAGGGGTCACTGTCTGTGGAGGCAGGGATAGGAAGTTTCAGCATCTCCCTCCCTGCATCTCTCTACTCACTGATCGCAAGGGAGCAGCTACACAGAACAGAGAGTCCAGACAGCAGCTTCCAACCTGCAGAGACAGCCTACAGCTCAGGGAAGTGAGGGATGGGGGGAAAGGCTGCAGGGAGACATGGGGACACTGGGAGACACTAGGGGACACTGTGTGACCTGGGGACACTGAGAGACCTGAGGATGTTGGGGGACATGGAGACACAGACATTAGGGGACGCTGTAAAACACTAGGGGATGCTGAGGCACTTGAGGACACTGGGAGACATAGGGACACTGAAACACTGTGTCCCTAGTGTCTGTGTCCCCATGTCTCCCTAAGTCTCTGTGTCCCCATATCTCCCAGCCAGTGTCCCTTGTGTCTCAATGTCCCCATGTCTCCCAGTGTCCCTATGTCTCGGTGTCTTACGGTGTCCCCTACTGTCCAAGTGACACTGGGCAACATTGAGATATAAGGGGACACTGGGAGACATGGGGCACTGAGACATAGGGGACACTGAGACATGGGGACACTGGGACACATGGGGCACTGAAACATTGTGATACATAGGGGACACAGACACTAGGAGATACCGGGAGACATGAGTACACTGCAAGACTAGGAGACACTGGAAAACTAGAGGATACTAAGACACTTGGAGATAGGGAGACACTGGGAACAATCCATCTTTTATTCTGCAGAATAAATGTAAGTAACTTTTTTGAGATTTTACAGAATTTTCTCTTATGTCACTCCTTGTGATTTACATGCATACGTAATTAATTATGCAAATTAGTAAGGCCGGTATTTTTTCCAAGAAAGGTGGCAACCCTAACTATCCTTCACATACTATTGCTTAAGTATGGAAACTTAAGAGGGATGTATGGGAACAAAACTTGTGTGGACTGGCTGACAATGAAATTAGTTAAGGTAATGCTGACTTTGGTCTCTCTAACACTGTGGCATGTTCCCTTTCTTCTACACTCACTACATGCACCTTTTCTCTGTCTCAGACTATATACCAGGAGCTTCTACCTGCTAGTAAGAAGGTAAGGAGACATGTGGATATGTGAGTGCTAGGGGACAGTTTTTAGAAAGCGTGGAGCAAACACATCATTAGACGCATTTATGCCAAGCTCAGGGTGCTGTCTGCATAGTATGCCCTTAGTTGGCCAGCCTGCATGACTGGCAGGCAGCCTGACATGCATTCATGCCAGGCTGGCCTTCCAATTCTTTGGGCAGACATGCACCCTTTTAAAGGCATGTTCGCCTCTTTCAGCAGTTCTGATTACATGATTCACATCAGTTGCCCACCCTTTTACCCCGCCCATTCACTGCCTGCTTCACTGGACACTGTTGTTAGGAGGCATGGATTTACTTGAAAGATGAACGCATAAATGAGAGAGAGATTAGCATAGAGTATGTGTTTTCAGCATATTATGAGTTTCCCTCCAGCACCACTTCCGCCAGATATATGACGCTTGGGAGATATCACTGTTTTAGTGTTTTTGGACGATAAGATTCTGTAATTAGGCCCATCATAATTGTCAACACCATGCCCACTGGGTTCTTAATTTGGCCCTGTAGAGGGGGGCGGGGGGGGGGCATAAGTAGTCAATATGATTAAGTTTACCTTTTTGAATGTCAGAGTGATTACGAGTTCCCCGCAAAAGATAATTATTTTGTTGGATTTCTTAAAAAAAGAATCTATATTTGTGGAATACCAGACACACATTGGCTATCCACAGACAAAGAGTGGATTAGATCCAAAGATTTTCCCCATGTGTTCAAATCATCTGTGCCAAACAAAAAAAAAAAGAGGTGTTGCTACTTTAATTTCTAGTAAGTTAGCATTTGAGCTGATACATCAGGATACCGACATTGAACGCAGATTTCATATACTTATATAGAAACATAGAAACATAGAAACATAGAATGTGACGGCAGATAAGGACCATTCAGCCCATCTAGTCTGCCCAATTTTCTAAATACTTTCATTAGTCCCTAGTCTTATCTTATAGTTAGGATAGCTTTATGCCTATCCCACGCATGCTTAAACTCCTTCACTGTGTTAACCTCTACCACTTCAGCTGGAAGGCTATTCCATGCATCCACTACCCTCTCAGTAAAGTAATACTTCCTGATATTATTTTTAAACCTTTGTCCCTCTAATTTAAGACTATGTCCTCTTGTTGTGGTAGTTTTTCTTCTTTTAAATATAGTCTCCTCCTTTACTGTGTTGATTCCCTTTATATATTTAAATGTTTCTATCATATCCCCCCTGTCTCGTCTTTCCTCCAAGCTATACATGTTAAGATCCTTTAACCTTTCCTGGTAAGTTTTATCCCGCAATCCATGAACCAGTTTAGTAGCCCTTCTCTGAACCCTCTCTAAGGTATCAATATCCTTCTGAAGATACGGTCTCCAGTACTGTGTACAATACTCCAAGTGAGGTCTCACCAGTGTTCTGTACAATGGCATGAGCACTTCCCTCTTTCTACTGCTAATACCTCTCCCTATATAACCAAGCATTCTGCTAGCATTTCCTGCTGCTCTATTACATTGTCTGCCTACCTTTAAGTCATCAGAAATAATCACCCCTAAATCCCTTTCCTCAATTGTTGAGGTTAGGACTCTATCAAATATTCTGTACTCTGCCCTTGGGTTTTTACGTCCAAGATGCATTATCTTGCACTTATCCACATTAAATGTCAGTTGCCACAATTCTGACCATTTTTCTAGTTTACCTAAATCATTTGCCATTTGGCTTATCCCTCCTGGAACATCAACCCTGTTACATATCTTAGTGTCATCAGCAAAAAGACATACCTTACCATCAAGACCTTCTGCAATATCACTAATAAAAATATTAAAGAGAATGGGTCCAAGTACAGATCCCTGAGGTACCCCACTGGTGACAAGTCCAAGCTTTGAATATATTCCATTAACTACAACCCTCTGATGCCTGTCACTCAGCCACTGCCTTACCCATTCAACAATATTGGAATCCAAACTTAAAGATTGCAGTTTATTGATAAGCCTTCTATGTGCAACAGTGTCAAAAGCCTTACTGAAATCTAGGTAAGCAATGTCTACTGCACCACCCTGATCTATAATTTTAGTTACCCAATCAAAAAAATCAGTAAGATTAGTTTGGCATGATCTCCCTGAAGTAAATCCATGTTGTCTCTGATCTTGAAATCCATGTGTTTTTAGATGTTCAACAATCCTATCCTTTAACATGGTTTCCATCACTTTCCCCACTACTGAAGTAAGGCTTACTGACCTATAGTTGCCCGACTCCTCCCTATTACCTTTCTTGTAAATGGGCACAACATTCGCTAACTTCCAATCTTCTCGGACTACTCCTGTTAACAATGATTGGTTAAATAAATCTGTTAATGGTTTTGTTAGTACACCACTTATGTTTAATTTTATGTGAAATTAATAATCAAAGCTATACAATAGTAAATCTGTATGCCCCTAACCATTCTCCAACTAGATTAATACAGAGGATTGTCTCCCGGGTGGAAAGAATAAAGCAGAGACGAATTATATTTTGGGGGGATTTCAATTGCTTACGGGATCATACAATTGACAGGAACAAATTAATTAAAAACGATAGACAGGGCCAAACAATAAACCTTGCTATACGTTTTAATGACATTTTGAGGAATAATAACCTGCTGGATTTATGGCGAGTCTGGCACCCCCTAGAAAGGGACTACTCCTGTTTTTCAAGTTCTCATAATGTATATTGTAGACTACATACTAGCTGAGAGAGATACAACAAAAATGATTTTAAAAATTCTGATGACTAATATCCCATGGTCAGATCACAATGCAATTATTATGGTCATTAATGACAAATTTCTTAGAACAAGATCTAATTGGAGATTAAATGAACTCATCATACAAAATAAACAGAATCTAGATCTGATCAAGGAAGCCACAGAGCTTTTTTTTTAAAGAAAAGCATTCAGTGGATATCCTGTTTCCAATGATCTGGTGTGCCTATAAGTGTACTCTAATTAAATTGGGAAGCCAAGAAAAAAGACGAAACAACTTGAATTCATCAGAATTGTATATAGATTTGGATCGTATAGTGATGAAAAACAGGAGTAGCCCCTCAAAGGAAGGGAGTGATAGGGTGAGGGTTAGACATGTGCAATTCGGTTCAGTCCGAATGGAAATTCGGACAAATTTCGGACATTCGGACATTCAGATACTTCTGAATTGCCGAATCTCCGAAGTGACGAATTTCCGAAGTGACGAACTGAACCAAAGTGGCGAATTTCCAAAGTGTCAAAGTACCGAATTTCCCAAGTGCCGGAGCGAATTGCCAAAGTGCCAAATTTCGGAAGTGCCGAAGTGCTTCGGACTTCTGAAATGTGGCAAAATGGGTAGGGGTAGGATTGGGGTTGGGGTCGGGTTAGGGGTAGGGGTTGGGGTAGAGTAAGGAGTAGGGTTTGGGTTAGGGGTAGGGTTAGAGTTAGGGTAGGTTTAGGGTAGGTTTAGGGTTAGGTTTGGAGTAGGATTAGGGTATGGTTAGGTTAGGGTTAGGGTTGGTTAGGAGCAGTGTTAGGGTAGGGTTAGAGTTAGGGTAGGGTTAGGGTAGGCTTAGGGTTAAGTTAGGATTAGGATTAGGGTTGGGTTAGGTTAGGGTTGGGTTAGGAGTAGGGTTAGGGTAGGGTGAAGGGTAGGGTTAGGAGTAGGGCTAGGGTAGGGTTATGGTAGGGTCAGGAGTAGGGTCAGGGTAGGGGTAACCCAACCCTAACCCTACTCCTAACCATACCCTACCCTAACTCTACTCCTATCCCTAACCCAACCCTAACCCTACCCCTAACCCAACCCTAACCCTACTCAGATCCCAACCCTAACCCTACTCCTAACCCTGCTCTAACCCTACCCTAACACTACACTTACCCTAAGTCCCGAAATGCCAAAGTCCAGAAGTGCCGAAGCGCCAAAGTTCCGAATTTCGGAAGTGCCAAACCTAACCGAAGTGCCGAAGTTCTTAAGTGCCGAAGTCCCGAATTTCGAAATGCCGAACAGAAACAAATATTTTGCCCATTCACATCTCTAGTGAGGGTAGTCAGGGATAAAATTAATAATATCTTAATTCAAAAAGCAAATTACACTCTTGAATGAGTTAAAAGAACATGATATTGTAAGGGGAATAAAGCTGACAAATTATTGTGTAATAGTTTAAAGACCAACCGAGCTTAAAAAATCATTACTAAGATTACTAAGGGCAGTGATAGCCTCCTCAACCCAGAAAAAATTGGTGAGGATTTTCAGGATTTCTACTCAACTATAACTTACCGGAGGGACTGTCCTCTGTAGACATAGCAGGTTTTCTTTACAAATATAATTTCCCCAATGTTTTGGAGGAGCAACTAATTAAACTTAATGAAGAAATTAATATAAATGAAGAAGGAACAGCTATAAGAAAACTCAAGGCTAACAAATCACCTGGACCGGACGGTTTTAATAATTTCTTTAATTTGGCCCTAGGAAATAATATCAAAGGGCACTCACCATGGTATTTAACCAAATTTCATCAACAGGAGAGATCCCAAGTGAAATGTTAAAAGACATACCCATACCTAACAAGATAAAAATCCAGAAATCATAGGAAACCATAGGCCTATCTCATTATTAAATGTAGATGTGAAAATATACTCGTCCATTTTGGCAGATAGACTATATAATATCATTCCATTCATTATACACAAGGACCAGGTTGGCTTTGTAAAAAGTAGATCTTCTGTTCATAATGTCAGGAGAATTATAGACATAGTGGACAAGGGGTCTCCCTCTTGACTCTGTTGTTGGATGCCGAGAAGGCTTTCGACAGAGTCAGGTGGGATTTCCCCGGTCAGGTTCTAGAGGTATTTTGTCTCTGTGGAAATGTAGTCAAAGCTATAATGGCCTTATATTCTTTTCCTATGGCAAGAGTAATGGGTGCGGGCTTTTCATCAGAACAGTTAAAGCTGAAGAATGAAACTAGGCAGGGATGTCCATTTTCCCCTATACTCTATATAATGGTAATTGGACCTTTGGCCATGGCAATTAGGGCAGATAACCAAATTAAAAGTTTTCCGGTTTTAACAGAACGTGTCAAAATCACAATGTACGCTGACGATGTAGTTTTGACCCTTTGTGGCCCAATTTATTCTATGTATAAATTTATGATGATCATTATTGAGTTTTCGATACTCTCTGGGTATAAATTGTATATAAGTAAATCTGCTGCACTGAATTGCTCCTCTTCATATTTTACATGTCTCGGAATTCAAATTACGAGAGATCCCTCTAACCTAATAGAGGTTTATTTTATGTCCTTACTAAAATATACTAGTAAAAAACTCAATGACTGGAAATCTTGGGAAGTATTATGGTGGGGGAGACTAAATATTATAAAATCTTATATTTTTCCAAAATGGATCTATTTATTCCGTATGATCCCCGTGTCCTGCCCAGATAGTTGGCTGAATCTGTTTCAATCTATATTCAACAAATGTATGTGGTTAGGCAAACACCCCTGTATCAGTGTCAGTTGCTTAGCTTAGTTGCAAGCCACTCAAGGAGGTCTAGGTTTACCCCAGCTTAAAGACTACTGGAAAGCTTGTATGTTAGCTAGTGATGTCCCGAACGGTTCGCCAAATGGTTCGCCGCGGACGGCGAACATATGCGGTAAACTTTGACCCTGTACCTCACAGTCAGCAGACCCTCCAGCCAATCAGCAGCAGACACTCCCTCCCAGACCCTCCCACCTACTGGACAGCATCCATTTTACATTCATTGTGAAGCTGCATTCTTAGTGAGCTGTCCAGGAGGTGGGAGGGTCTGGGAGGGAGGGTCTGCTGCTGATTGGCTGGAATGTGTCTGCTGACTGTGAGGTACAGGGTCAAAGTTTACCGCATATGTTCGCCTTCCGCGGCGAACCGTTCGGCGAACCGTTCGGGACATCACTAATGTTAGCACATATTATTTATACTCAATGTGATAATGTCAAAGAGGAAATCTGTTATAAAATTGAAATGTGCTTGACAAAATCTAGCGATACTATTAAAGAGTTGGGATCAATATTTTGGCGGACAAAGGACAAAAAAGAAAATAAATATCTATAAATAAATAAGTATCTCTTTAAAAAGTATAGTTTTTAATCATCTTCTGAACACATGGGAATGATAAAATCATTTCAGGTCTTCCCTTAACTCAACTAATGTACAATGTTGCTGATCTAAATCTCTCTAATTGGATAAAGTCTGGCTTTGCTAAAATTGAAAATCCACTCAATAATGACAGGATAAGGACTTCACTTCGTTAAATGCGGATTTTTGTCTAAATAATAAAGAAATCTTAATTATATTAAAATAAAAGGTTATCTTCAGGAACATTTAACTATGGATAGACCTGTCAAACATATTAAATTAGAAAAAATTATTAAGAGTATGTAAATGAATAAACTAGTTGCAGTCTGTATGGATTTGATTACGAGAGACCCTGACAAACCTATTCTACCTGTGATAAAAAAAATGGTAGCAAGAATTAAAAATTGATATTACCTGTGAGGAATGGATGGAATCATTAGAAATGGTCAAGAAAAATATGAATTGCTTAAATCTGATCCACTGTAAACTTAAACAAATGGTACCTGGTCACAGGTAGGCTGTCTAAGATTTACCCCAACACCTCAGATAGATGTTGGAGATGCTTAGTTCACAGAACTAATTTCCTGCAAATATGGTGGGAATGTCAACCTATCCAACTAATTTGGAAAATGATACACATAAATTCAAACTCTACTTTCAAAAACTATTGATTTTCACCCTAGGCTTCTACTATTACAATTAAACTTTCAAAAAAAATTTGGTCATGCAGCTGCCAAGATGTTGATTGCCAAAGTCCCGAATTTACCGAACCAAATGCCATGTGTCCGAATTGCCATGAAGACAAAAATTTTTACTTACCCAAATTTCCGGACCAAATTTTTTGCCCATGCACATCCCTAGTTTACATCTTTGAACATGACTGGGTCAACCCTCCTTCCCACCTTCTACTCTCTGCAGGTGTCACGACACTTCTTAGTTGATTTGCCCTCGGGCAGTACTCACACTCACCACTGTTTCTGTTTGGCACTGTTCCTGATTTCTCTTCATTAAGCACTTCACCTGGTCCTTGTTTAGCACCTATTTAGTTTGGGTTCTCCCCACACTCCTTGCCAGATCATTGCCTTTTGTTTCCTGTTTCCCTGGTTTCTTGTGTTGCTGGCTCCTGGCTCCTGCATACTGTGACTGGGTCCTGTGTCCTGCGCCTCCTGGTCTTTGCTCCTGTGTTCTCCTGGTCTTCATCCGGTGTCCTCCTCATCCTGCGTTCAGGGCCAGATTAAGAGCCCAGTGGGCCTGGTGCTGACAATTATGACGGGCCTAATTACAGAATAATATCGACCAAAAACAGTAAAACACTCCCAAGCATCATGTATCTGATGGAGATGGAGATGGTGCTGGAGAGAAAGAAAACAGCAGCTATAAGAAAACACATACCCCAGGCTAATATCTCTCTAATTTATGTTTTCATCTTTCAAGTAAATCCATAACCCCTAACAGCAGTGTCCAGTCAAGCAGGAAGTCAATGGGCATGGTAAAAGGGTGTGCCACTGACACAAATCACGTAACCTGCCAAAAGGGGCGAACATGCCCAAAAAGAGGACATGTCTGCTCAAAGAATTAGAAGGCCAGCCTGGCATGAATGCATGTCAGGCTGCCTGCCAATCATGCAGCTGGCCAACTAAGGGCATACTATGCAGACAGCACCCTGAGCTTGGCATAAATGCATCTAATGATGCGCTCACTCAACGCTTTCTAAGGACTGTCCCCTAGCACTCGCTGGTCCACTTGTCTCCTTACCTTCTTACTAGCAGGCAGAAGCTCCTGGTATATGGTCTGGGACAGAGAAAAGCTGTATGTAGTGAGTGTAGAAGAAAGGGAACATGCCACAGTGTTAGAGAGACCAAAGTCAGCATTACCTTAAAGGATCACTATAGGGTCAGGAACACAAACATGAATTCATGACCCTATAGTGTTAACACCACCATCTAGCCCCCCTGGGCCCCTCATGCCTCCATAAATATAGCAAAATCCTACTATATTCAAGCCTGAAGCTGTAACTCTGCATGCTGTTAGGCTCATAAAAACAAGCAGTCTGTTGACATCGTTAGAAGTGGTGGCCTGATCCAATCACAGTGCTTTCCCATAGGATTGGCTGAGACTGACAAAGAGGCAGATCAGGGTCAGAGCCAGCATGATTCAAACACAGCCCTGACCAATCAGCATCTCCTTATATAGATGAATTTAATTAATGAATCTCTATGAGGAAAGTTCAGTGTCTGCATGCAGAGGGAGGAGATACTGAATGTTTGGATGCATTTTAGGCAGCCATGACCCAGGGAGGATTTCTAACAGTCATCTAAGGAGAGGCCAGTGAAGTTATCACTAGGATGTAATGTAAAAACAGCATTTTCTCTGAAAAGAACGTGCTTACAGCAAAAAGCCTGATGGTAATGATTCTACTCACCAGAACAAATTCAATAAGCTGTAGTTCTGGTGACCATAGTGTTTCTTTACCTATATTCATTGTCAGCTAGTCCACACAAATGTTGTTCCCATACATCCCTCTTAAGTTTCCATACTTAAGTAAGAGTATGTGAAAAGTAGTTAGGGTTGCCACCTTTCTTGGAAAAACATACCGGCCTTACTAATTTGCATAATTAAATATGTGTGGGTGACATCACATGATGTAAATCACAAGGAGTGACATAAGAGAAAATGCTGTAAAATCACCAAAAACT